GTTGGGAAAAAAATATATATATAGGAAATATATATATTTGGAATATATATGTATACTTGGAAATATATATATACACACACACACATATATATATATAATTTTTTTAAAATGGAGTCTCGCTCTGTTGCCCAGGCTGTAGTGCAGTGACATGATCTCAGCTCACTGCAACCTCCACCTCCCAGGTTCAAACAATTCTCCTGCCTCAGCCTCCCGAATAGCTGAGATTACAGGCACGCACCACCATGCCCAGCTAATTTTTTTGTATTTTTAGTAGAAAGGAGGTTTCACCATATTGGCCAGGCTGGTCTCAAACTCCTTACCTTGTGATCCGTACACCTCGGCCTCCCAAAGTGCTGGGGTTAAATATTAACAGCAGAATAGACCAAGCTGAGGAAAGAATCTCAGAGCTTGAAGACCGGTTTTTGAGTCAACTCAGTCAAAAATAAAGAAAAAATAATTTTAAAAAATGAACAAAACTTCTGTGAAATATGGGATTATGTAAAGAGACCAAACTTACGACTCGTTCACATGCCTGCAAAAAGAGAGAGAGTAAGCACCTTGGAAAATATATTTAAGGATACCGTCCACAAAATTTCCCCAGTCTTGATAGAGAGGTTGACATACAAATTCAAGAAGCACAGAGAACCCCCTGGCTAGATACTCTACAAGATACAATCCCCAAGGGACATGAATATCAGATTCACCAAGGTCTATGTGAAAGAAAAAATCTTAAAGGCAACTAGACAGAAGGATGAGGTCATGTAAAAAGTGAACCCAATCAGGTTAGCAGCAGATGTCTCAATAGAAATCTTACAAGTCCACAGAGATTAGGGGACTATTTTCAGCATCTTTAAATGAAAGAAATGCCACCAAGAATTTAATATCCCATCTAACCAAGCTTCATAAGTGAACAAGAAATAAAATCCTTCTCAGACAAGCAAATGATGAGGGAATTCATTACAACTAAACCAGCCTTACAAGAGGTACTTAAAAGGGTGTTAAACACAGAATTGAAAGAACAACACATGCTACCACAAAAACACACTTAAGCACATAACCAACAGACACTATAAATCAATGATGCAATCAAGTCTACAACACAATGACCAACTAACAACACAATGACAGCATCAAAATCTCACATATCAATACTAACCCTGAATGTAAATGGGCTAAAATCCTCATTTAAAAGACATATAGTGGCAAACTGGATAAATGATTCAATTGTCTACTGTCTTGAAGAGACCCATCTCACGTGTAACAACACTCACAGGCTCTGAGTAAAGGGATGGAGAAAGATCTACCATGCAAATGCAAAATGAAAAAGAGTAGAAGTCACTATTCTTATTTCAGATAAAACAGACTTTAAATCAATAACTATTAAGAAGGACAAAGGCTCTCTCCTCCAGCCGCCCAAGATGCCGAAAGGAAAGAAGGCCAAGGGAAAGAAAGTGGCTCCGGCCCCTGCTGTCGTGAAAAAACAGGAGGCCAAGAAAGTGGTGAATCCCCTGTTTGAGAAAAGACCTAAGAATTTTGGCTTTGGACAGGACATCCAGCCCAAAAGAGACCTCACCCGCTTTGTGAAATGGCCTCGCTATATCAGTTTGCAGCGGCAGAGAGTCATCCTCTATAAGCGGCTGAAAGTGCCTCCTGCTATTAACCAGTTCACCCAGACCCTGGACCGCCAAACAGCTACTCAGCTGCTTAAGCTGGCCCACAAGTACAGACCAGAGACAAAGCAAGAGAAGAAGCAGAGGCTGTTGGCCCTGGCCGAGAAGAAAGCTGCTGGCAAAGGGGATGTCCCCACTAAGAGACCACCTGTCCTTCGAGCAGGAG